CTGCCTCCTCTCCCGCAGACACCGTGCAACAACAGGGTAAACATTTCTAGGCTTTTTTTATTGTTATTGTAGCTGTTGAGAAGGAAACCTCTGATCTCGGCGTAACTAGCCTTCAGTAAATCTATCCCGAGTGGGGTCAGCATAGGTGTCTGCTCATTTGAAAATCGCTTGGCAGCGTGGCTTACCGAACAACTTTCGCGCAGGAGGCTTGCAAGTTGAAATTACTCCTGTGGTGTCTTAATTCGAATCTGTGTACATTTGTTTCCACCCTAGGACTGCGGTTGATAAGCGATGTGTATACCCCTGAAGTTTTTTTACCGATTCTCTGGGTCACAAATTCGCCCGATTTGTGCTTAATTGCACCAAGTCGCAAGTGTCAGACTCGGATTACTCCCAGAATTTTTTTAATTCTCCACTACCCACCACCCAGTAAATTTCCGGGAAGCCTGGAACTAAAATAACAAGTAGGCACCGTCATTGCGGTGATTCTTCAACATGTCTAAGCTGCACCACTTCATGTTTAACTCGTACGGCCTCATCTCTCCACGCACATGTCCCTGGGAGCAAGTCTAGTCCACAAATATGGCCCAATATTACGTACGTAACCACAACACAAAACCTCATGATTAAGACGTACAGATGGCCTGCCCCTGTTATCCTCGATCTTGGTGTAATGCTGCCATATACATACGTAGATTTACATTATATGGGGTTCTTTTGGATGCCAAACTGGTGTCTACAATGTTTTTTTCAAGTAAAGCTAACTACTTTTTGTTTATTAAACGGCTATGTAACAATAAGTTTAGTCGCCCACCATAGATGCATCTAGCCACAGAATTCCATCTTACAGCACCGGTGGTATTAGTATAGAAGCAAATGTGCGAGTTCCAGGAAGCAGTTCAGAAGGACATGCGATCACTGGAACAAGAAGTTTATTTTACTGACGTTTCGGATCCTGTCGGGAATCTTTTATCATACCTAGTCGTAGAATGGTGTGAGTCATGTGCAGAATCCGAAAAGTCAGGAAAATAAACCTTTTGTTCCAGTGATCACATCTACTTCTTCTGGTATCAGTATAGTTTATTAGTTTAAGTTTAGTATAAGTATGTTTGTCGAACTTAAGCTAAATCTAAAAGAAACCACAGGACTGGAGGCTAGGAGTATATAAGGTGGTAGACAAACGGATAATGTTACTCGATCTTAACTTCCGTACCACTGACTTGAATCGCAATTTATCTGACCTAGGTGAACCGCACAAACCCCCCGCTCAGGTGGCTTCCGTCAAACGGGAAGAAGTTTCCCTCCCTAGTGTCGACACGCGGCCGGCAGCTTCTGAAGCTTCCACCAAAACCCCCAATGTTCCTGCTCAGTCTTCCACTGCTCCCAGTCGGGTTACTACACCGAAAGAGCCTCCTACAACGTCCCCCGCCTCCAAGCCATCGGACTCCAAGAGCAAACCCACCGAGCCCGTGTCAACAGAGTCGTCGAAGCCATCATCTGCTAAGGTACGTGTTTTACTCCCTTTTCGCACCTTAAGCTTCGGTTTTTCTTTTGAGATAATTAGTTTAAGTTCAACGTCGATACCTATGTAAGCATCCAGGAAGTCAAGTTAGGCGAACAAACCTTTTCAATTAATTCATCATCAGGCAATACAATAATATAAGGGAAGGGTAGAGTTAAAAATTTAAGCAACCAATCAATAGTAATTAGGGGGAGAGGTGCAAGGGGATCAAAGGGGTCAGATTCTAGTCTTAATTGGGGACCAGAGAGGGGAAAGGGTGTGGAAGGAAGGGAGGATAAGGGGTCCGACAATTAGTCCATGCCGTCCCGTCGTCCTTGGCTCGCATTTTGTTGGGAGGCGTGAGGACCCAAGGTGTCATCGTCTCGTGACGGTGCGGGTGGCTGTCGCAGCCTCTTCACTGTTTCGCGGCGTGGTAAGAGGCGTGGGGGGCGGATGTTGAGTTAGCCTTCAGCCACGGGAGCCTTAGGGCCCCTACAAACGCCTTCTGTGCACATAAGATTGGATTGATGAGGCGTATGGCGACTGCCTCTGACGCAGAAACCTTGAATGTTTCGCCAGCACTTTATAGCTGACTCTAAACTCTTGGTTGACGTCTACCTGATGACCCCTGTCAACTAAGTGAGCTAAAATCGTGCTTGATATTGATTTTACTTCGCCTCTGTTTAGCCAAGCAAGATGATGTTCTCGCATGTGCTTGGATAGCCGCCTAGTTCTTCGACGAATGTAACCTGCCCAACAGGAGCATGTAATGTTGAAGATACACACTGAAGAGGCCTGGAACGGGAGTCTATTCTTGCCTTCAAGGCGAAGAAGTGGAGTGCTTGGAAATAATAGTCTTAACTTAGCTGCTGGATACGTACGCGCGATTGCAGCGTTCAAGCGAAGCTGTAGAAGTTCACTTGCTGGATGCCCTTGAACAGGGAATGTAAGAAATAAGGTTTTCTTCTCAGTCTTCAGCACTTCCGATTTTGATGGACGTTCCTCCATAAACTTATTGATAAACATTTCATCTTCCCTCGCATAGTACTTTCCTCCCACGTTGCAGGCACCTCCCTCTTCGTCTATTTTGTAGATCACTGAAAGATCGCTGTCGTGGGGCCTGTAATCTGTACGCCATCCCCATCCTACATTATTGGTGTTCTTACAGTACCACCTTAGGCATTATTCTTCAGGCAGTAGTCAATTTCTGGGACGTTTACTGTTCCTAATTTCATCTGGCGTGTCCAGTTTGTAGTTCAACCGTTGCATGGGGCTATACAACGGTCCTGTGTAGCATTTGATCAGCCCCGCCTAAGCAAAAGCCTACCCTCTGCGTACTGCGTCGGTTTGTTTGCCAGGGGACCACTTTATCCCTTCATCGTACTACACAGGGCTGGACTGTTGCTGCGAGCTCCTGTCGGTGGGTTTATGGGGCGTTGGCATTTTTCAAAATTTTCGATAATAATGCCTGAGCCAATTGACCCAATTGTGAAAAAATCGCTGCCTCGGTGGTAGTCGAACCCAGACAGTGAGGAAGGCTTTTGCGCGGCCAACGCTCTACCATTGAGCTACGAATGCACGTCGAAGCTTTGAATTTAATCAGGCTTGGGTTGATTTAGTCGCCCAGTCTCCTGCTCTTATGGAATTCACCATTACGGATACAGCAAGCTGACTGCCCAGGCAGGACTTCCTAAGCAATCATCTAGAATTCACCAGAACGACCACTTAGTTATTAGGAGCGTTTTTGCAACTTTTAATAATTCAGTTGATCTAACTGTGAAAAATTCGCGGCCTTGGTGGGATTCGAACTCGCACAGCAGGGAAGGCTTCTGTGCAGCCAACACTCTGCCATTGAGCTACGAAGGCTCACCGTGAACCGTGAATTTAATCACATTTGGGTCGATCTACCCGCCCAGCCTCCTGCTTGTATGGAATCTACCATTACGGATACAGTTAGCTGACTGTCCAGGTAGACTGTTGGCTGTACAGCAGTCTTCCTTGCTGTTTGAGTTCGAATCCCACCGAGGCCGTGAATTTTTCATAGTTGGATCAACTGAATAATTCAAATCTGCCAACCCCCCTCCCCTCCTAATAATATCGAAGTTTTGATATTTTCTTCTTAATGATGAGTGTTTTTTAGATTTTAACTTTATTAAACAAATTTTTTAGTCCTTATTTATTGACCTGACTCGTGTCGTCCCCCCCCCCCCATCCTCTGTCTTTCCGTACAGACTGCCGCCCCTCCCTCCAAGTCCTTAGATGTTACGGAGCCCTCTGGGTCATCTGTCAGTGCCAACTCAAGGAGGTATGTTTTCCTACAACGATTTTTCTGCATGGTTTATCTTTGGATGCCACCTCTTCTTCTCCCATACCACCATTCTTGGATGCACTGTTTCGTTGCGGAAAGCTTCACTCACTACTCATTATCCGTAAGCCTTTCTGCCGATCGTTGCCCCGGTGCCGTTAGGAGCGGTGACTTCTACCCACGTCTTCTAGCTACTTCCTCTGTCCTTTCTTCGTTCTTCGGTTTTCTTTACTGCTCTTTGGGGCTTACCGGAAAACGTTGCTGCTGCCCAACGCTCAACTGCGAAATATAATCATGAGAAGGCGCAATCACCGCCGTAACCCGTAATTGCAAAGAGCAGGGCAAGGGTTCCGTTTTGCGTGGTAAAGAAGAGAGTCACTGAGTATGCGTTCTCCTGGTTGAATCGGCGGGCTCGATTCAGGTCATCGACTGATCAGCTGAATCCGATTTAAAATCGTCGGTCGTCGAGCTAAGGTATGGCGCCTCCAAATAAGCCAGAAATAGCTATTGTAATCACCGTTGCATTTATGGTAAAACTTCTGGCATTTTTGGCTCACTTCAGCGGCGCGCGCCACAGCATGATCTGATCCCCTTGACGCACACATCCAGATTACTAACAACCATGGGGTGACGAGTCATCGCTGTCTGCCTCTTAGTCAACTTGTCAGCCACTCAACACAATGCGCTGATAGTGGATGTTTTGTATAAAGCGTCAGTTGGCAGCCTTCCAAGCCGAGGTTTTTAGTAGACCCTGATAGTCTGAGGCTCCGATCACACATATAGCGGAGGGGCCACGTGGAGAAGGGGCCGAGAAACATATATTCCCTTAATCTGAGAGGACACCCTCATTAGAGGTGCATTCTACACTCTCTCCCTCTCTCTCTCACTTTATCTCCTACTTCTTCATTTTGGCTGTCAAGTTAATCCGTACTGTTCTCATTTTCTTCTACTTGTTCCTTGCGGTCATTGTTTCCTTCATTTATACTTTTCCCTGCTCCCGCTCGTTCTGCCTTCTCTTCCCCCTGTTCTTCCACTCTTTACGATCTTTACTGCCACTTTCCAGGTCCCTAGTTCCCTCCAATTTTATCCGTCCCAGGCTCGCCCTATTTTTTCCTCTCTAGTCCCTGCTCTTATCTTATGTCTCTCTGTGTGGGTTTAGTCGGGACGCATACAGGGCAGCCTTTGTACACCTTCCATCAACAAGCATCCATTTGCCCATTGTAGGCGTATAGCTCCAGGTGGTGAGCGTCACAACCCAACAGCTAATCCCCCCTTCGCTTTTTCCCTTGTTTTTCCTCACCTGAGTAGTACACCAGGTCGGAAGGCAAGAACCAACCCCGCAAGTGCATCAAAAGGTGCAATCAAAAGGTACGTTATGCCCACTCTCACCCCTTTAAAAAAATAATCACTTACTCCCTCCGCCGTTTTTCCTCTTGGGTTCTTTTGTCCATTCTTTGCGTCACGTGGTGTACCACTTGAGATGTTTTTTTTCATACTCTGTTGTGTTGTTTCCGCCGGTTGTCTGGTCCTTGCCGCGACTTGCCTCTTATTTACTCCCAAAGTTACATACCCCTGTCTGCTATTCCCCTCCACCCCTGGCGTCTACCAAATCGCTTTCTGCCTTCGCCTCACCCGTCTCATCAGCAGCCTTTCACACTCTTGGTGATTTCTCCGATTTTGCACCCCGCCCCCGCTCTGAACACAGCCAACCAACTCGCTTTCACTATCCGTTTGTGGTATCGATCTCATTTTGTAACGCTTTAGAAAGTCTTTTTTTCTAACTTTGAGGTTGTTCCACTTGATTTATGTGTGCGGGCGCATTCTCGAGCCCGTTACTACGGCCTGTGTTTATTTTTGTTACCCAATGTCACCCGCCGACCATTTCGCGTGTAGCCCTCGTAAAGCCTTGTTTCGCCTCCGCTGGGCGTAGTTGTTATTGTTGTTGTTGCAAGATCAATTGCAAGGAAAAGGGCTTTAGAGCCACGACTTCCGGATCTTCTTCAGATGCCAGACTGTGGCAGAGGGTCTTTCGGACGGTTAGGTCGATCGGCGCTCTCAGACTGCAGTTGACACCAAACTCCTGAACTCTGGCGACCATCTTGGCTGCGCATTCCATCAGGTGTTCGTTGGTCTCTTCCTCCCCACAGACTGCACACGCGGAATCATCAGCCAGATTGTACCGCTTCTTGATGTGATTCAGCTTTGGACAATGT